GAATTAAACAGCAGAGGCAAACATGGCTATAGTTGGATTAAAACACATTGGATTCCCTCTTCCTAGTGAAAAAAGAAAAAGAAAAATTCCGACACGTGGGATTCAGACGTGTGGTGGACCCTACTGACATTTGCAGTACTTCTATAATTCTCACAACTTTTCAGAAATTATTGACTGTTGGATTCTGAATTTATAGCCGTTCGATTGCTCCGGGAATTGCATCGAACCACGTACACGTGTCCGTGGGAGCCAATTACAAGAAAACTTCGCCACCGGGAAACTACAAAGTAAAGGACTGTTCCGTACCTGAAAAAGTGAGTAAAAGGAGAACTCACTCACTCCCCCAACAACCGAATTAGTATTCATCATCAATCTCGACTCGATCGATCATACTGGTCGATTTTTTTGGTCAAATTTGGGTTCGGCTCTTTCCCTCCGCTCGAGCAAGCTAGCTTGATTGGCTTGCGAACCAACTTTTACGAGCCGACAAGCTTGAACAAATATTTTGCAGCTCATGCTTGTAACTCGGTTCGCTTGTGGAGCGAGGTATAAAATCAGATTTTTAGCATATTTTAATAGAAGTTAAATGTGTGGTCGAAAAGTTGCGAGTCCAATAAATTGTGGAATTAAAATTAATTATTAACTTTAGTTTAAATTAAAATTACCACAAATGGGCTAAATATTGATCAAAGTGTAAAGATTTGAACTAGATTTAGATAAAAATTAAAATCTTAATATATTTCCTCCAGGTAGATATAATTTTAATTAAAATCTTGATTTTAATTTCCTTCCAACACGGGCACAATATATTTCTCCCTTTGTTTGTTCGCAATGGCCATTTGCGAAATAAGTGAATTCGTTCTCTCTTTTCATGTGTATAAATAGTGATTGGAGCATTCTATCTTTCATTAAAACATATAAGTAGGTCGCACAACTGAATTGAATGCCTAAAATAGATAGATATCATCCGTATTGACAAAGTTTGCTATTTTTTAAAGGTTGGGGACCAAATTAACAACAAAATAGTTGGGTAGGTCCACTACTTTGTTCAAAGGTTAGGGACGAATAGTTAAAATTACTTTTTGAACTTTTATTTGAATATTTTTTTATTTTAAAAAATATTATTATTTTTATTACTTTATTATTGATTGGTAATTTTATTGATAAATTTATTTTAAAAAAAAAACATTTTGAATGAATAATGATATAAAAAATTATTATTATTTTGTTAGTCACGAACTTTTCGGTCCTGTTTGAAAGGGATTTAGATTTTTCTACAATAAATCAATTCTCATTTTCAACCACATATTTTTCAATAAAATAATCTTTTCCATCACATCAATAATTTTTTCTTCTCTTTCAACCACACATTTCTCATCATATCAATATTCAAAATCAATGCTTCCCCCAAAAATTCCTCTCAAACAAGCTCCATGTTTGATATACATTCTTCTACAAATACATTTTTCTCACTTATTTTTAACCACACATTTTAAATATAATAATATTACATGCAAATCCAAAACTTTTCTTATTTTTTAACCACATATTTTCCATCAAATCACTATTTAAAATGCGTATTTGAGAGAATAATGTGCATCAAACAGGGTGTATATAGCCCTTGTTTGGCCCCCATATAGAGCATGTTTGGTACAGATTAAAATCCAATTAAAATTGAAAATATAACCGTTATTGGACATCACTCGTCTAATAAAAGTCAATAATAACGGCTAGTTTTTCAATTTTAATTCGATTTTAATATCTACCAAACGGGCTCAAAATGACATTTTGGAAATAATGTATTTTGAAATAATAATTTTTTGGAGAATGTATGGTTAAAAAAGAATGATTTTTTTTTTTAAATTTATATGTAATATTATTTTATCAAAGAATGTGTTATTGAAAATAAAATATATAAATGTATTAAAATTTTAATGAAGGCCAAACAGGAGATAATGAAAAAAATTATATTTTAATTATGATTAATAGAAAAACTGATTTCGAAATTTGTTAGAAAAATATTTGTAATGAAAACCTCAAAAAATTTTATTTCCAATCAAAATTTTGATGTTAGCCTTTTTTACCATACAAAATTTTCAAATTATAAATCGAAGCTTCCATTTTAATAAAAAAGTGGAAAAAATAAAAACGAGAAAGAAAATAGAAAAAAAAATGAAAGTAGAATAATATCACACATTCCCATCAAATCACTATTTAAAAATCAATTCTTCCCCCAAAAATCCCTACCAAACACATTTCTCCATTTGTTTGTTCGCAATGGCCATTTGCGAAATAAGTGAATTTGTTCTCTCTTTTCATGTGTATAAATAGTGATTGGAGCATTCTATCTTTCATTAAAACATATAAGTAGGTCGCACAACTGAATTGAATGCCTAAAATAGATAGATAGATATCATCCGTATTGACAAAATTTGCTATTTTTTAAAGGTTGGGGACCAAATTAACAACAAAATAGTTGGGTAGGTCCACTACTTTGTTCAAAGGTTAGGGGCGAATAGTTAAAATTACTTTTTGAACTTTTATTTGAATATTTTTATATTTTAAAAAAAATATTATTATTTTTATTGTTTTATTACTTATTATTGATAGGAAATTTTATTGATAAATTTATTTCAAAAAAAACATTTTGAATGAATAATGATATAAAAAATTATTATTATTTTGTTAGTCACGAACTTTTTGGCTAGTGCTATTTATTTTTGCTTTATCACCATGTTTGATACTCATTCTTCTAAAAATACATTTTTCTCTCACTTATTTTCAACCACACATTTTTAATAATATAATATTACATGCAAATCAAAAAAATTTCTTATTTTTTAACCACATATTTCTCATTAAATCACTGTTTAAAATGCATCATTCAGAGAATAATATGTTTCAAACATGGTGTATATAGCCCTTGTTTGGCCCCCATTATAATGAAATTTTGGAATAATATTTTTTGGGAAAATGTGTGGTTAAAAAATAATGATTTTTTTTAATGTGTAATATTATTTTATCAAAGAATGTATTATTGAAAATAAAATATATAAATGTATTAAAATTTTAATGAGGGCCAAACAGGGGATAATGAAAAAATTATATTTTAATTATGATTAATAGAAAAACTGATTTCGAAATTTGTTAGAAAAATAAATCGAAAAATTTTATCCTTACCTAAATGGGAAATTATGCTATAGTTAAAAAAGAAAAGAAATTTTTATTTCCAATCAAAATTTTGATGTTAGCCTTTTTTACCATACAAAATTTTCAAATTATAAATCGAAGCTTCCATTTTAATAAAAAAAAGTGGAAAAAATAAAAACGAGAAAGAAAATAGAAAAAAAAAATGAAAGTAGAATAATNAGTGGAAAAAATAAAAACGAGAAAGAAAATAGAAAAAAAAATGAAAGTAGAATAATATCGTTTAATGACAATTTCGATTATAACAAAAAAGTTAAATGCTAAAAATTGGAATTTACCATTATTTTTGGCTTATTACGAGAAGAAAACAAACTTTAGGGGACATTTCTGTAATTTGTGAAAAGAAAAAGGGCGTGTCTGTAATATTCTGTAATTTAAGGGGTACCTCTGATGTTTGCTCGAAATCCATATGCCAACTGACGTGTAAATACATAAATGGCAAAGAAAAATAAAGAGAGGTGTAGTACTTGAGAAGCTCACTGCTCTCTGATTTCGATGCAACTCAGAGGTGCAGTACTGCACAAGTTTCACACATACACAGAGAAACTGTGGGGGTCGGTGTAGGATTCTCTCTCTTTCTTTTTACTGCATCGGGTCTTCTTTCAAACTCGATTTCCCTGAAGTTTCTAGTGGGAAAAACCAGGTGGGTTCTCCCAATTTCCTCTCTTTCTTCATTCATATATATCTATGTTTGCTTATATATTTCTAAGATTTCATCCCTTTTATTCATTTGAATCCCATGGCTATGAACGCAATGTATTATTTTCTTGATTGTTCTCGAGACTTCAGAGAGGCAAGTTTTTTACCGATATGCTGTTTTTATTTACTATTATCCATTTGTCATCTGGGTAATTGCTATTTGGTTATATATTTATCAAATAAATTTATAAAATTAAAAGGCCTTGTTTTTCTTTGTTTTGGGTAATCATGATCACAGCATTGTCTTGTTTGAAATCTGGGCTTTGGGTAATTTTTTTTCTTTGATGTTTGAATGATATCTTATATGGGATTGCATCTCATAATTGATTTTCTCTGACAGATTTTCTTAGATCATACCATTATAGAAATCCTGTTTTTTAATATATAATCAAGAAAGGAAAAAACACTTCTTTCTACTGTCAGCACTTAATTTTTCTTGCAGTTCATCGTATTTAACTTTCCTGCTGTCATTTTGTCCTCATTTTATCGCATGCTTATTAACATAGTAAATATAATTATTTCTGATGGACTTTTCTTTAATATTTCACTGAAATCTTGTCTTTTAATTTGTCCTCAAGGGATAACAAACTGCAATTTGATTCTTAATTTTAATCTTTACCGTCATCACTTTATTATTTTTTCTAAATCTGCTTAATTTAAACTTAATTGTATTGAGTTTCTTGGAGTTCATGGTTTTCAACTTTCTTGCTGTCATTTGGTCCTCATTTTCTTTTATATTTTTATTGTGGAAATCTTGATTTTTAAGTTATAATCAAGAGAAAAGAAACTGCAATTTTTATTTTTATTTTTCTAAATCTGCTTAATCTAGACTTAGCCTCCGTTGGAATACAAATTTATAATGATTTTTAAATTGAGTCAAAGTCAAATTTCAACCACACATTCAAAAGTTACTATTCCTCTTACCATTCCTCTTTATAAACCATTTGTACATTTGCCAAACTGACTGCTGAGATTCTTGCTGTCTTTTTATCCTCTTATAAATTCATAAATGTTATTATTATTGACAGATATTTTTTGTTTAATATATTAGACAGGTCTTTTGCATATTTCAAAGCTTTTGAGATTTTAAGATAATGCTGAGGAAAAGGAGCAGATCAAACCAGAAGAATCAACTGATGGATCAATTGATGTTTGATGCTGTTTCAGAGCCTTATTATCAGTCTGATAGTTTAGGTCAGAAAACCAGAAATAATCCCTTTCTTAATGCTCCTCATCTATTTGTGGGGTTCAACCCCAAGAACTTGGAATCTGATTCAGTTAGAAGCCCTACTTCTCCTTTAGATTTTAAGTTGTTTTCAAATTTCGGCAATCCATTTAGGTCCCCAAGATTATCAAACGAGGGGCATCAGAAGAGATGGGATTGTAGTAAAGTGGGCTTAAGCATTATTGATTGTCTCGAAAATGAAAGTAAACATTCGGAGAAGGTTCTCCAATTGTCCAACAGTAGAAATATTCTCTTTGGACCACAAATGAGGATAAAATGTCCAAATTTTCGAAGCCACAATGATTCTTTTGAGGCACCAAAATCACTGCCTACAAACGTTGCAATTTTTCCTTGTACCCTAGGTAAACCATCAAATCTTCAAAAGGGGAATTCTAATGTCCTGTTTGGGATTGGAGAAGCCCCATTTGAAGAGGAATCTGGTGGAAATTTCCGCTCTTTTTCATTAGATTCTGGAAGGCCTTTTTCACATTTAGCCAATTTTGCTATCCCTGAGCCTGACCAGCGATGTGGTGATTTCAATTCCAAGAACTCAATAAGGCCAATGCCTTCACAATCAGGAGTTCTTGGAGGAAGCTTTAAGTTAGGCAATTCATCTCAGAAAAACCTTAGTTCAATTCCAGAATCCACTGGATCCGGAACTGGTTTAATTGGAAATATCCCGCCTAGTGAGATTGAGCTTTCTGAGGACTATACGTGTGTGAGAACACATGGCCCCAATCCAAAAGTTACACATATATTTGGTGATTGTGTTTTGGAATGTCACAACAATGAAGTAACCACTTTTTTCAAGGAAAACAAAGAGCAAATCTCATTGCCGCAGGCGGCAGAACTCTCCCATTTTGTTGCTTCTTATCCACCGATTGATTTCTTAAAATTTTGTTACTCTTGCAAGAAGAAATTGGACGGAGAAGATATCTACATGTATAGGTTTGCCACGAGAATCCTTTCCTCTTTTCTTTCTAGATACGTGCATTAATCTTATGGGAAAATTGCACTCAAAATTTGCACTATCGTCTCCAACAACAAAAATCGTTCAAGCTTTTATGTGAAATCGTCATATGGCCTTCATGTGTCTATCTTTACTACAGGTCTATTCTTTTTTTCCAAATTCGGGTCGATGTCCTGAAATTTGAAGCGAAGTGTGTTTCCATGAGGGCCACATGACAATTAATCAGAGATTTGGATGGTTTCCGTTTTCGGAGACTAATTGTGCAAGACTCTCTCTTTTAAATGGTCGAGACCAACTTGCTACTCATGCAATAAATTGGGGAACACTGGTGCAATTTTCCCCAATCGCTTCCTGCTACATGTGCTTGAAGTACTCCTACATCGTAAGGTTTTAATTTGTTTTTGGTCATTTGATGTCTTGACAGGGGTGAGAAAGCGTTTTGCAGTTGGAGTTGCCGCTCGCAGGAGATTTTGCTTGATGAGGAGATGGAGAAAACCAACAATATTCCTCCGGAAAACTCTCACAAGTTGAACAGCTTTGAAGAACATTTTGAGACCACCTTGTTCATCGATACAGAGGATGCTGTGGTTGCAGTGTCTTAGGACATTATGCCGATGATTGATGAAACCTCAGCATAGGTATATATCCCCAACCTTGTATCCATGAGAGCTGTCTGTGCATCTTCTAGCGGCCTTCGATGATCATGGTGTGCACGTTCCATATGTTGATTGTGTTTTGTCTCATGGTTGTAGTGCTTAGTGTACCCCATTAGCGAGTTTTGACATAATTAAGTCTAACTTGATATATCACTAAAATTTTTATGCGGTGATATATTCAGAAGGGCGGTAGCCTATATCTTCACTGGAGTTGATGTATAAGCCTTCTACTGAATTTAATGTGAGGTTTTAAGAATATATAGTACTTATCTCGTTCTCTATTATGCCTTGATTAGAATGTGATTGTTTAAATTTTAAATTGTTGGTAAAACGCCGGTTATTTTGAGTTAACTACGCCTCCGTTTGGCGTCCATTTTTTTCTCATTTTCATTCTTTTTCTCTTTTTTCATTTCAACCACACATTCTATCAAAAAAAAAAAAAAATGCCCTCATGGCACATCTTTAAGTGGTAAAAGGGGAAGGTGGAAAAACTCTATCTTTGTTGAGGTTGCTGCGTTAAGGGTTCGAATATTGAAATATGGATTTGGCCATTGGGTAAGTGCAAGTGTACAAGCAGCCTTCCACCTTATACTCTTGGAGTCCTAACCTGTAATTTACCTCCTTTACCAAAGCCCAGAAAAGGGTAGGTGGGGACCGCCAAGAATACAGTTCCTCATTTTTAATAAAATAATATTACACATAAGTCTAAAATTTTTTCTTACTTTTTAAAAATAAAATATTTTGCAAGTAAGGGCATGTTCGGTAGAGATTAAAATTGGATTAAAATTGAAAAATTAGCCGTTATTGTTGACTTTTATTAGACGAGTGGGACTCAATAACGGTCATATTTTCAATTTTAATTGGATTTTAAGCTGTACCGAACATGCCATAAATCTAAAACTTTTTCCTACTATTTAATCACACATTTTCTAAAAAAATCATTATTCCAAAATTCATTTTTTCCAAAAAATTAAAATAAGCCATCGTTTGATCTATATTATTATCTCATTAAAATGAAAAATATGATTTTGATTCATCACATCAACATTTAAATTCAAATTTTCTATCTTTTGTGTGGATTCCAATAACGACTATATTTTTCATTCTCATTATATGATAATTTGGCTCAAACGAGGCCTAGATGTCAAACATTGGGCTAAATTTAGCACCTGTTTGGTACACTTTAAAATTTTCATTCTCATTCTTCTACTCATTTTCAACCACACATTCTTAATAAAATAATATTTTCTATTACATCAATAACTTTTCATTCATTTTCAACCACACATTCTCTATTAATCTATTATTCCAGAATACAATCTTCCAAAATAATGTAGCTCAAACACACCCTTAAACGTAAAATCAAAAATTTTCTCTACTTTTTAACTACATGTCTACATCTTCAAAAAAATCATTACAAAATCTATTTTTCAAAAAAATGGAGAACAAACTATCCAGTGTAAGTTCTCCAAAGGAATAAAAGAACTCTATACTCTACTCGAGCATCCAAAACTGAGTTAATACCCCCCACAAAAGCATCTCTTAACAAGGTATGAGACATAAATATACCATAATTTGAACACAAAACACCCAAACATTTACTATTATAGATCACCAAAAAAAAAATTAAGCATCCCACAGCTTAATACATCCTGCCACTACATTCTGCAGTGCCACAATAACATCTCTTAATCTTGATATTTCCATTGGAATCAAGAACCTGATCCAGTGAATAATTGTAATGGTAAGTCAGTTCCTGCAAGGGAGGGATGTCCTCGGCCGCAAAAAGCATTACATGGGGCGTTCTTTTGTCATCGTGATCATAGATCACATTCTGCGCGTAAATGTTTGGCGAACAGCTGTGATTGATAAACCTTCCGATGTTCCCATACTGGGCTGCATCAATTGTAAAGCCATCTTCCCAAAATTCGACTAAATTTACTGATTCTTCTGAATCACGATAATTCTGACCAATATCAAACAGATATTCGTCATTGCCAATTCTTTGTTCGGCTTCTTTATCGTCAAGAAGCTCTCCTGCATACTCACATATAAAACTTCCAGATGGAATAAAAGTTGGGCACCTTACACCCCAGCCTCTTGATTCTGTCTTGAAGATTTCGAGCTGAATTTTGACCCCGTGTTGGCTTACTCTGTTATAGCAAGAAGGAGGACATTTGCAAGAAGGACCACACTCGTAGACAAGAGGTTTCACTTCGACTATAGCTCCATTATGGTTGAATGGGAATTCACCACCATTTTTTACTGCACATAAGCATTTTTTCGAGTCGGAGCATCTCCCTGTACAATTGCAACCTTGAGGGGGAATAGGGGAAAACCAATCGGGATACATCATTTTGGTTATGTAGTTGAATTGTGGGGGGTTTTCAATGTCTATCACATTCACAGCACGTATAGGAAATGGCTCTTTTCCTCCCGAAATATCATTGACACAAATGCCTGAACGAGCTCTGTACTTATTCGACATTTTCAACTCTTTCCAAGCAAGCTCGGGTTGATCAGGATTTCTCCGCAACTCGTACGTAAAAACTAGCTTACCGTGACACCCTGTTTTCGTCCAATATTTTTCTACGGTGTAGAGGCCATCATAAACATATGTAGAGACAATCTTGAATCTTGAATCCGAAGAATCAGAAGCCATCGTCTCTTTCCATCCACGAATAACGCGGATAGGAGTCTTTGTTGATAAGCTATTCCTTAAAGCCAAATATCCCCTTTCAAGTTTGTGATCTTGAGGTCCTTGCCCGGAGTATATCAAAACATCAGCATTCTCCATATCATCAGCGTAACCCCCAGAAACAACTATACTGGTCGCAACTAATAGTCCATTGTGCTTCATGGAATCTATACCAGCCTGATATGAGCGGTGAATGCCGACAATAGTGAGCTCTACCCGGTACTGAAACTCGTCGCCTACTTGGATTCCAGGTACTTCTCCCAAAAATTGCTTTCCCATGTGAACTTCTTTTCTTTTCTCTTTGATGATCTTTGCTGCACGAAGATCGATCCTTAAGGGTGAACTTTCAAGCTGTCTTGACTTTCCTCTCTTGTCTAGCTCAAACTTTGCTTCTTCTTGCAATAGCATTCTACAATTAGCACGAAACAGGCAAAGAGCCTCCCTCACTCTGTTGCGAGCATCATCGTGACTGAAATTGTTGCGACGACCATAAGCAGGTAGACACAGGATAAAATCATGCAGTTTATTATTTGAACCGAAATCTTCCTCATCCTTCACAACTGAAAATGCACTTGGACTTCCATCTGAATCTCTAGAAACACGAATCCTAGATGGCCTTCCTGAGTTATCTTCTTTAAGACAACTTTTCCGCGCAACAGATTTATACTTCTGTTGCCAATTGATTACTTTTTTCTGCCTATAAGGGCAATATGGTGCTGCCATCAGACACTGCACAACCTCCATATGATCTTCATGCCCCGAGTAAGAAGCAATTTCCTTCTCCTCTGACCCTTCAGTATCCTCATCATGACCATCGAGTACTGACTTGGGTATGGTCATTGGTCCAGGTATGGATCCTCCGAGTTCGGTTTTCTCAATATCATCTCCTAAACCACCATTCGATATCTGTTTCATAGGCACAACTTCCGCAATAGTCTTCAGTGTCTCTTGAGAAGCGCCTAGGTTAATATTGTCAATCAAGAGCTCTGCCGATGGAACTCTTCCACTACCATACTTCAGCGTCTCAGCTGATCCTGTTTCCTCATCAACCTTTTCGACTCCATACAAACACTCTTTTTGAAAAGTCGTCATCATCTCATCTAACACACTTATTTTAGTTGCCTCCATTTTCATAACAAGGCCATCATTCCTAGAAGTGTTCCCTTGTGTCTCTTCTTCAGTTTGCCGAGGCGCATTTCTTCCACATAAAGGAGGGAAGTCACGAAGAGCAGATACTCTCCGCTGACAGTATTTATCGTTCGGCCTAGGGGAAGTCCCTTGCTTAATACTGCCATTCATGACTGGCAACCCCGGTGGTGAACTCTTTAACATATAACCTTCAGCCTCTTTATTACTCTTTTCATCAGGTTGCAAATCCATTTGAGCAGCATTATGGCCACACCTAGGGGGGAAATCCCGATAAGCAGAGACTCTCCGGTGCTTGTATTTGGGTATAAAACCATTCTCCAATTCTCGCTTACTTAAATCCTCTCGGCTTAATCCACCATTCATAGTGAAACCATAAACTTTTAACCAAATCCTAGAAATTATATTTCCCACAGCCCCACTGTTTGACAAGGAAAACCTGAAAAGTTTATGGTGAAATAATCAACGGCATGAAAAGAAAATCTTGGGCTTAACTAAGCCTTATTCTGAAAAGAGAAATAGTTAGACAGCGTAGGTACACATAAAAACATGCATGCATATGTACTAAACACCACGAAGGTAAATCGACATCGAACAATTGAAGAAAAAAATGAATGAGAAAGAAAAGGATGTTTAAGAAGAGAGAGAGAGAGAGTTTAGGATAAGAGAAAATCAATTTATTTCATATATTCTAGGGTATCTATTACAATGGAAAAACCTTCTTTACATAGAGCAAAGGAGAACGTCAATTAGACAACGAACTGTTGAAGAAGAAAAGGTACGAGAAAAAAAGGGATTTCAAGAGAAATTTTTTGGGAAAGTAATCAATTTATTTCGTATGCTCAAGGATACCTAATAATGAATAAGTCCTCTTTAATACAGAGCAAAGAAAGCGAAAATCAAAAGAATATCAAATAAATTAGAACTTCATCAAATCATTAAAACTAATCAAATCTAAACAAACATATTTTCAATTGAACTATATTTAAAATCCTATCGAAATTGTATCTTTGCCTCCATAAAAAACACTCCAGCAATTAAAACACACAACTTACATACATCTTAAATAATAATTTGCATGCACCCATACATTCGCCACAGA